GCTCAGCACCACCACCACCAGTGATGACTTTTCATAGGAGAACTGAGTTTTTGTATCAAATTCTATTACACTAACTTAATTGGTTCTTGTTTGTAGATAAAAGATTCAAGGGTTAATGTTTTATTATTTTAATATCCATGATATTTTTCAGATCAAATAATCAAATAACCCGTGAAATTGAGGGTGAGGAATTAAGAAGGAGGGTTTTGAAAATTTGCGTGTGTTGTCTCCGAGGGTTGTGCTAAGGATCTCAACAGTGCTCACCAAATCCATCATTATTTCAGATGACGTAACGTCCTCAACTATCCTAAAATTTCAACACGGAAGACTGGTTCTACCATAACGGGTGTTTCTAACTATCGCAACGACAAAATGAAATTTAGTGCAGCCAATGCATCTTCGACGCAGGTCATATCTTCGATGCACCAAGACTACATTCATGGTTGCGCCTTCGACATATACGGGCGCCGCATGGCGACATGCAGTGGTGATCGTTTTGTTCGAGTCTGGGACTTGACGGATAGTGGAGAATGGAGCTTGGTTGGAGAATGGCAAGCCCACAGAGGAAGCGTCAGCATGCTTAGTTGGAGCCACCCGGAGTACGGAAGCCTCATTGCAACGTGAGTCGGTTCGACAGTCTCACTTGAATTTCTTTTTTCATAAAAGCTATGATTTTGTTATGGATAAAAAATGCACTGGTCTCTCACGGATTCAATTATTGCGTTTACATTGGTGTGGCTTCAAAACTAGCTGTGGTTCAGATCACGAGGCAAAAATTTTTGAAGAAAAAACGAACGCAACTTCTGCAGCGTCGCGATGGATAGCAAAAGCTCAGCTTACAGAAGCACGAAAGTCTGTTGCTTGTGTTGAATTTGCACCTCGACACTGGGGGTTAAAACTAGCAACTGGGTCTGCTGATGGGTAAGTGCATCGTGTACTTTATATTATTCATCATTACATGTGTGTTCATATGGGAGTGCTCTGTTCTGGATTGTAGCTCGTGTTGTCGCACATCTTGCTTCTCAACGCAATCGCCTCTATATTGTTTCCAATGACATCTGCAATAGATGTGTTCGAATTTACGAGGGTACGTACCGTAGGCTTGAGGTATCAAATATGCAATAAATAGCCCCCCTTCTTTCCAGTCAACAGATCATCTACTAAACACTTCTCATCTGATTGGATGAATTGCATGACAATTGGTTTTGTCGACAATTATTTTCATGAATTTCAATACAGCTGTGGATGTAATGAACCTTGCCCAGTGGGCCAATGCCTCTACCCTTCAATGTTTTGCCGACGGTCTAGGAGTAACGTGCTTGAGCTGGTCAACAGGCCGCTTCGAGCCACCCACGCTTGTTGTTGGTGGAGCGCATCCAATTATATACCGTTACAGCGAAACATCTCGCCAGTGGAATTCTATTATCGTGTTGCCCCCGCCTCCTGTCGGGGATGTTTTGGATGTGGCGTGGGCGCCAAATGTGGGACGGAAATACCATTATATCGCGTCCGCGGAAGGGAAACAATTGCGTATCTTCAAGCTATCTCGAGGAAATGACGGGAATGGGGATGCTTTGGAGCTTGAGGCTACTCAGGAAATTCCGRTTTCGAATGCATGGAGGTGTCAATGGAACGTTACTGGCACTGTGCTAGCTTGCAGTGGTGATAGCGGGGTGGTGGAAATGTGGAAACTTGACTTCGAAGGGAACTTTCAAGCTGTGTCGAGTCTTCAAGGCGATGTAAGCCGAGTTGCCACACAAGCGTTTTGAGTCTGTCTACAGACTGGAATTGGAATCACCAAGCACGAATGAAATGAAATATATCGATTATTCAGGTGCATTTCTGCTTTCACATGAAAATATCCGTGTTACTATTTATTTGAATGTTATACAGCCTGGAAGCAAAATAAAAGGATTTTTACTAGTACATTTGAATTATTAAACTCCCAAACTCGCATTGAGTTTTTCGGCAATAGAAAGCTGCGTTTGTGTGATGTTCGACAAATAGGTGACCATAAGCATATCTTGCAACGAGTCATTGAACAGCTTATCAAACACTTCAGGGCGGATGCGCGGAACGGTAGCCAATGTGTCTGCAACTTTACGACCAATTTCTGCATCGGGCGATGTCTTTCCTTCGACGACAGAATCAACATAATTCGAGGCGGTCTCCAACAAATTGTACAGCGTTTCCATTGATACAAGCAAGGGCTCTTCTGATGACTCCTCCGTCGATTTTTCCTTGCTGTCAGCCACCATTCGATGGAGAGCAAGTGTCTCTGGTTCTGAATTTTGCAGCGTCAAACGCAACTCATGGAACATATTGGCCATCGGCTCTCCTTGAACAACTACCGGTGTGCTTCGGTAAGCTCTGGCCGTAATTGCATCTTCGATGAGTCGCGTATCAACTACAAGGTGGACCGGATCTCCCTCGTCCGATTCTTCCGCATAGAATTCATGAATCAATGATGACGTATTGGCAATCAAATCCGGCGCTTCGTTATCTCCGTCCGCCAGGGCAGCCGACGCATACCATCCCACAACGGTCTCTTTCCTATTTGCTCGAAGGTGCAATGCCAACATTTGTTTGTTGAAATCCTTGCCAATAGCAACTTCGTCGCCTCTTTCGGCATGAGGCACAGCAAAGCAGTTTGTCACCTCGATCTAAGTTGACAATGACGAATAAAAGGATGAACGTATAATCAGTTCGGGTCCAAGGAACAGACCGACGGAACAAGATTCGGCGAATGTACCAAAAGCATTTTTAAATGGAAACAGGACTACTCGAAGCATTCAAATGAATCTCACCTTCTTTCCATCTCGTCTACCTAGCAAAGTGCCAATTACCCTTCCAGACGCTTCCTGTCGACGGGTGTGGTGGTCCAAAACATGCAACAAGACCAATGGGTGCACAACAACTTGAGTGATTGTGTCCGCTCCTTCTTCCATCACGAGGGCAGGTGAAGACAAAGATGTCGTTGAGTTAATTGTGGTCATCGTCTATTACTTTCAAATTATTCGGGTATCCCTTTACTGAGGAGGATGTAATGTCTCTTTATCTCGCACGAAGACAAAACTACTTTTCTCTCTTGGTGGTGAAAACAATTCGGTTGAAGCTGCTGCCCTGAAATGTTGTTGGAAAAGGTGGGAGGTACGGTACCGTAKCATACCAGGTCTTTTGTTGCCTGTTACACGGTTTTTCTACGTGTTTTCATGAAACAAGAGTTCGACGGTGGTGAACGAATGTAATTCGTTTGCATCTGTACGTCGTCCGCCACAAGAAATTGCGCAAAAATTTGTACCATACGGTGCGGTACAGGTCTTCGTAGAAACCAGCGGTTCCAACACTGAGTGAAAAAGGAAAATTGGTACTGTGGACAAAATGAAATTGAAAATTTAGAAGCAAATTGATGAAACCACTCTTCCTGTGTGATGTTTCTAAAATATGTGGAGTCCATTCATTTGTTGTATATTTGGCATTCTTGCCTGTGTTGTTTTCTGTGAAGAGAAGATGAGGTGTTCTCACAAACATCACCAGACGACAACAAGAACACCAACAAGAACACCAACAAGAACACCAACAAGAACACCAACAAGAACACCAACAAGAACACCAACAAGAACACCAACAAGAACAACAAGAACAACAAGAACAAGAACAAGAACAACAACAACAACCACAGCACCATACTACTAGTACTATAGTACTACCAGTAGTAGTAGTAGTAGTAGTAGTAGTAGTAGTAGTAGTAGTAGTAGTAGTAGTAGTAGTAGTAGTAGTAGTAGTATGAGGAACACTCCTTCTCGTCCTGCTACTAGTAGTAGTACTACTACTAGTAGCATTCTTGTCTAGTAGTAGTACTACTGCTAATATGAACTCTTCTTATTGTAGTTGAAAGGAGGAGGAGCACAACATAAATTGAATTTCTTCTCCATCTTGTGTAAGACAAGAAGGTTGAAACCAACACCTTCTTCTTTAGTAGTAGTACTAGTAGTACCAGTAGTGGTGGTGACAATTATCTTCCCTGTAACTTGTGAACAGCAGTTCTTGATGCATTAGCAATGTTAATTGGGAATGATGTCAATTATAATATTCCTTTGTCACTTGTTTGACTTTGATGGGTAATGTTTGATTTATATTCTTGAGGACATTAAAATTTAGCAGTTATGATTACTTGTCAAATTATGATCAGGATACTCATTCAAGAATGTTTCCAGCTTTTTCATGCTACTACTAATAGTAGTAGTTGTAACTTCTGGTCTAGTCATACCTGTGCCAGTACTAACAGTTACTACTATGATTGAAAGGTTGACTCCCAATGCTTTGAAAGACATCCTAGTACAGCAGTAATACTGACCACAATAAATCAGTACTTTTGATTTTCAAGTGCCACCAACCCCTGAGAGAAAAAATAGAACTCCTCTTTGGTCATGCGTCCACCAAACCTCCTTGGAGGAAGGTGCTGTCCCTCAGAGCAACTAGTACTAGGGGCATTCTTCTCCTAGAAGTTATGGTCCTAGAACCACCTAGCCCCTCTTCTAGTAGTTCTCTCATGTGGTTGAATATTAATTTGAGATTTTTTTTAATGAGCTGCTCTCAATTGTTCATGGTTACCTTGACACCATGCACACTTTTTTGCTGCTTCAACCACTGATAATCGCCTGGAGTCTCATTTTTCTTGATCAATCAGGGGAATGCACTGATTTTTGTGAAATGTAAAAACAAAAGCAGCAACAATCTAGTATCTGGATGGATTATTTTGTCCTTAAAGATTTTGATGACTTCCACATTGCTGGTCTCTTGGTGGATGACAATAACAAATTTTCTACATAAAATTGGTGATATGAAATGTTTAGCAGTACTACTAGTAGCATGTTTGTATTCATGTTGCAGATTCAATTCTGTTTATCACCATCTGCATTGGAATCAGTTGTGCCTGAACCTGATACTTCAGCAGTGTTCTTCCACATTTTTGCRCYTGATGCTGCCTCTCAGAGCAAGAAGAGACAAAATGGTGTTTTGGGTCAGCCATTTACCCCCTCTAGTTTCTTACAAGCTTGAATATAGTAGATTGAATAATAAGTTCTTTCTTACACATTTTTATGGACCTCAAGATGTGATAATTGAAGGAGTTTCAATTTCTTGCAGGAGTYCACTTCTTTTTTCATGGTGGTTGTATGGCTGATGACTGAATTTACCAAGTCTTTGGAATGGGATTATCTACTATTAAAATTGACCAGTTTATTCTTGGAATGACCAACCATAATTATTACTGAATATTCAAGTCTTAGAAGGAATTGGGGTCTCTTTAATTTTGGATGACCAATCATGATTATGGCTGATTTTTTTAGTTTTGGGAGGAATGGGTAGGACTTCTCTTTGATTTTGGAATGACCAGCCACCATCATGACAGAATATTCAACAAGTCTCAAGAAGGTGGTTCTCTTCAATCTTGAAATGACTGCTTCAATCTTGGACAGAATGAGTACCTACCACTACTAGCACTAGTATGTTTTAATATGAATAGTTTGTTTTTTTAAGGTACTGCTATAAATTTATTTGAAATATTAGACAAGCAAAGCCCACATGGAAAGAAAAACTAATATCCAGTTTTGTACTGGAGAAGTACAACTCAAAATTGCAAAATMCAAACTATGGTTTTTGATATGTCACAAATGGATTTTTCCCTCCATGGATTGTGGACACCAACTAAAAAATGAGGTGTCAACAAGTGTACTGTGGCATACAATAAGCTTGAATTGACGATGGTAAAACAGCTGCTTGAATATCACCAGACTCAATAACCTCACCATCAAGGTCGTTGAATGATCCTTCAGTTAAAGGTTCTAGACGAAAGGCAGAACATTCTATAAATTCCACCCCACTCATGCCAAAGTGCGCACCATGTTCCATCGACAAAAGAATCAAGGCTAGTCGAAGCCTCGATACGTTTCCGCTACAGATTGATGGGTGAAGCAATATGAAGTTGCGTTAGTATTTCATCCACCTCACTAACAGTGTGCTCCAAATCCGATAAAACTTACCGCACAATCATAATATGAAAAACCCCGTCGTTAACCTTGCATGGAGGGGCGTGAAACATATGCTCTCCTGCATGCGTAACTTGTGATGCCCAAAACAAGATGAATTCATCTTCGAATGTTATCCATCCTTCAGAGTTTGAGAGCGGATCACCCAATGGCGGCATGGTTATTGTCTTCTTTCCTTCGGAAGGCGGGAGGTAAGAAAACTTTGCGCGATATTTTCGCAAAAATAGCACCCTCACTACCCCCCAAATATCCATTCGAAGAAAACCTGCCCAGCGAATAAGTTCTGATTCAATGTCAATATCCGCTATCATGGCCCAACTGAAAGTTAGAAACGATGCATAGGAGTTAGATTTTGTTTCGTATCGAGAGAGATCAATCCAAGAAGACGCTCCTTTAGCAATCATAAACGCCGAGTCCAGTGGCAAATAATTTTCCTAACATGCCAGAGTGCGTCCAAATGAAAAAGTCCGCAAACAATGTGAGACAGCCATTTACTTTCTTCATTCCGCCTTCATACAAAGCACACATGTACTCATTCAAGATTTGTTGTCTTGTTGAAACGCAAATACAAACACCAACCTTGCTAGCATGAGCCAGGCTCGCAGAAAGTCCATTCGACGTTCCTGCTCCGATTGCGCCCAGTTTGATTTTCTTCAGGATTTTATCTCTATCGCTTCGATGGTGAATACCTTGCAAGACTTCGTGAATAGTCCCATCCCCACCAATAAGAACAATACCGCTGTACTCAGAGATATCTTTGAAATCCGATGTCGGGTTTTGTTTTTTCATACGTTCTTCGGCATGTTTCGAATGAGTTGTTACAAGGCAATCGTGAGAAATTCCAGCTTGTTCTAACATTGGAAGAAGTATAGTATCATACTCGTGAACACCTAACTTTTTCCCTGAAGAGGGATTGATAATGACAAGTAGTCTTTCTTCTTTGTCGCAAGATACTCCTTCCGTTCGATTTGTCGAAACCCGTGATAGTCTTCTAATCGCATTAACCATGATTGACAGATCTGTGAGGTCTTCAGTAGGTGCAATTATGAATTGGCGATGATGTGCATAGCGACGGCCAGGACTATCGTGCTGAGGATCACCTTCTTGCTCAAGTGCTATTTCCGCTTTTGAAGGTTTTGAACCATTCCGTTCTGCACCACAAAACCGAAGCATAGATACCTTCGCCCGCGTTTTTCGTTTTGGATACACAAATAAGGACAATACTGCATTCGCTTGTGTATCCACCGGAACTTCCGAAGCCGGTTCATTATCAGCAGCCAGGGCGCGGTTTGTTGCAACAATTTCTTTCTCGTCGTGTATCCGTGAATCATTCTCGCTGACTCTGTTCGATACCTTTCGGAAGGGAGACAATGAAATTGGTTTGATTTCTATATTCACCCCTATTATATCATATGGATCCAAAAAATCAACGACGCTTTCTGACGTCTCATCTTCCAATACAATTGTGAGAAGGTCCCGATCCTCATCGAAACGAAAAACACATGTTCTCTGGTCAGAATCGAACTTTTCGTGCAAGGGGCTGCTATCTCTTGGTAGCAAAAGTTTTACCCTGTTTGCCTCTTCTCTCGGCCATCCAAAGTTGTGTTCATTGAATTCCGATGTCATGTTAGGTGCATCATAGTCGTTTATATGGTGGGATTGGTGGGCGTTCGAACTCAGCAGCATGGTCAACGGGAATATCAGAGACAGTTTTGTTGTGAAGTCAGTTTTGACAAAAATGGGAACTAACTACTTCCTCCGTCCAGAAATGATTGTCCCCTAACAAACTTAATACTGAAATAAGCTCAATATTTGGGCAATTTGGATGGTTCTTTTTTTATTCTATTGCTTTTGTTAAATACTATTTGAATGTGTATTGCCTTTTATCGTCATACATGCAAGAATAAAATTATAAAGCTTCTAAAGGGATATTTTTTTAAATGCTGTTTTTAAGTTACCGGTTGAGAGTGTTCCAAYGGTCATTTTGATAAGCCRCTATTTCTTGCATACTACGTTAATAGTGTAGGTCTAGTATTATTTAAGGCTATTATTCAAATTGCTAAGGAGAACTTTCTTGTATAGTCATTTCTTGTTTGAGAGAGGTGCACCATACCATTGTCAACATATTGTTTCCTGTGTTAATGCACTGTTTAATTTCGTGTGCAAGAATAATTTTTATTCTCACGCATGCTCATGTCTACTAGCATCTGTGATTCTACGTATTGTACACAGTCATCTTTAATTTGGGGTTAAATGAATTAAATGAAACTGTTTCAAAGCGTGTTAAGTAATTAGGGGACTATCATATCAGGACAGTAAAATTGCAGTCACCGGACGATCATTGTTGGACAGAGGAAGTACGTACTATTCGTCTTCACTTCCAAATTGTGTTCGGCACATATCTGTTTGCCCAAACAAGAGACACAACAGACAATGCACTCAAGACAGGCACTGTGTGCACCATTGCACTTGAACCAAGCGCCAATACAAGGCGTAACAACATTTTTTGGCTTCGTTTTTAGAAAAGGGCTAGATAGGATGAGTTGTAACTACTACTACACCATTGCTCCTAGTACTACTAATTGCTCCTAGTACTACTACTAGTAGTACTATGCCACAAGACGCCATCATGATGCTCATTGAATCAATACTAGTACTATCCTCCACAAATCAGGCTGGGCTTCTAGTATTTGCAGATACTAGAACAAACAAAAATCCTACTATGAATGACAAACCTGCAACTGACACCACAATGGACCATGATGCACTCCACAATGAACACTCTGTACAAATACCCCCAGAACCTACTACTCATGCAGCTCCTCAAGCTAGTACTCGTAATGAAGATGACAACACAAATTACTATGCTAATCATGATAATAATTCACCTTGGCCCACACTCACAGGAGTGGAAGATATTGAAGACCAAGATAAAGGCCATTATAGATAATAATCATGAAGACCCACAGACGGCTGTGGACCCACCTACAGATATACCATTGCATTGGTCTTCAACACAGTAGGTACAGAACCAAGGAATGACACCAAGAACAATTACAGAGCAATATGAATTCTGACATTAACATCATACACCAACTACAGTACCAGAAGATGATCCAATCAAACAGCTATCCAATCAGAATGAATAGTACATGAACTATGGATGCTCCAGAATAGATTGCAAGACAAGGGCAGTGTCATCAGGTGATCAATGATTTGTTCCTCACACTGAGGGCTAGCCTCAAGAATTTGGTGAGGATGGAAGAAAAGCAACTGTGAAGCATCTCAAATAGAAGTTTAACTTGGCAAGTATTTGGCAAAATCAACCATCCAACTCTTATAGACAAAGGCCATAAACTTGCACTCCCATTATTCTTCGCCCTTAAATGTGATGTACCACACCAGTAAAAGGCTTTGCATTGCTGACAGACCAACACAAAGGCTATAGACACCTAGACATGAATCAGCTTCRCCAACCATTGAAATTGGAGCACTATTCTTTACATTGATCACAGATGCTTACAAACAAAGAGATGTAGCAACCTGGTGTGAACTACTGGTGGGACATTTCTTGCAGCGATTACAATTGGATGGACCCTTGGCAATCCTATTGACCAATATTGACAATAAAGGATGGATTAAGCATCTTAATTATGGAAACAAACAACTGGTAGTAATATATGCACAGTGTAACAAGGTCATCTTTGGGACAGTAACAGCAGCACTACTCTCATATGAGAATCCCATTGGCCAACTAAGGGATTGGAGGTTCACAATCAACCCATACAAAAAGGCATGCTGCTGGAAGAAGACCATCAATGGACACCAATGCATGTTTGTATTCCATGTAGATGATGTGAAGCTAAGCCACCACAAGAACCCTAAGGTTTTATCAAAGAAAATACAGCTGCTGGAAACTGTATATGCCAAGGAGGATCCCATGATGATCACTCTTGGTAAGATCCATTAGTACCTTGGAATGACTATTAACTTTGAAACAGAATGACAGGTGCAGATTACCATGTATGATTGCATGGGAACTGCATTCCTAGTATGTACATGAGTCAAGGAGCCAGATAATCTCAATTACATAGCTAACACATCAGATGATAATGTACCTACGAGCTACTAGTAGTACTGCATGCCTACCATTAATTAAAGAGCAGATGGGAAAGGAACCTCACTGTACATAAAAGGAACCCATGCTGTGCATGCAGGCATGAAAGGATATGGAGGAATGTTTGCCACAATGGGAACAGGGTTGCTACACATATCATCCACAAAGAATAAGATCAATTCACTTAGTTCCATAGAAACGCAGGTCATATCAGCAGGCAAAAAGCTACCAAAGCACCCATGGTTATGACAATTTGCCCTATAGCAAACAGGGGACAATTCACAGATACATGATGTGTTGTACCAAGACAATAGTAAGAGCACAATCCTCCTCCAAAACAATGGGAGATTGTCATGTTGGGAGGGATCCAAACACATTAATGTGAGATATTTCTTTATCACAGACTGTAGTATAAAGAACAAAGAAATAAAAGTGAAGCAATGATAGCAGACTTCTTTACAAAACCATTACAAGAAGGGAGACCMTTCCACAAGTTTAGAGACATCAAAATTCTGGGAATCAATGCAAAGCACATAGAACAATACAAGCAGGACTATGTAAATATAATGAAAGAGTTTGGCCTGGATGGACAAAGAACTCCATTCAGTCCACCGGGGTGTGTTGTGTGTTGTGAATTAAGAATTGACAGCTACTACTAGTAATACTGGTAGACCCAACCCAACAGAACAAGACAAATACATAGTCAAAATCACACRCTTGTATTCATACTCTTTATTTATCCATTAGTTAAYCATAATAGTATGATGTTTAATCTCCATTTCAAGTATCTGTTTGCTGATCCCAAGAAGCTCATGCCTAAATGCAAGGGTCAACAGTTTATCCCACTTTGGCATCGTTTTTTTCAGATACTAGTACTGTATGAGTAAGAAATCAAATGATGCTTGGTGTACAAGCTAGTAGTACAAGATCTAAACTGCAAAGGGTTGTAGGGTAGTATGTACTCACACRTGGTCATAAGGCCAGCCATGAATCCAGCAACATTCACAAAAATGGCTATCATAGTAGGACATTTTAGCAGGAGACAAAAGTTAATTTGAAGATATCCTTTAAATTGGAGTTTYGAACTTGTTCAAGTAGTGGAAGTTTTACTTTACCCATGCTACAACCCAGTACCACTAGCAGCAACAGCACTCCCAGTTGTTACCATGGTGCTCTACTACTAGTAGTAGTACTAGGAGTAMTACTGGCTTTGCTAGTATTCAATTGTTATCATGTGAGTCATCACCAAGAAGAAGTACTATCTTGATTACATTTGTATATGGTAAGAAATACCCCTGGTAGTGCTAGTAGTAGAAATACCACATATTTAATCTTAAGAAATGGCTGGATTACTAGTATCAAAACAGCAGGACAATTGTACTGTGTTACTTACCCTTCAGAGTGTTACTTTCTTCTTCTCTAGTAGTGGTGGTAGTACTACTAGTAGTAAGGTTGAAAGTCCTTATCGTATAGCGTGGGCCACGCTTTTCCGGCCGAAATTTTCGTACATTTTTGAATACAGATATAYGTACATTAATATCGATCAATATTCATCG